GAGACAGTGCAGCGGAGACGTTGCCTGGGTTGGAGAGTTTTAGTTATGAAGAGATTGGCTGGATTCTGGTTGTTTTCCTTGGAGCAGAGGGATAATATCATTGAGAAATATATAATTCTGAGAGGCATTGACTGGAAGGTATTTTTCCCTTTGGTGGACGGAATCAATGATCGGGGCAAAGGTTTGAGGCAAAGGGCAGGAGGATTAAATGGGATGTGAGGAAAAAATCTTTTCACACAGAGGGTGGTGGCAATCTGGAACTCACTGCCTGTAAGGGTGGTAGAGACAAAAACTCTCATAAAATTTAAGTATTTACATGTACGTTTGTGATGCCAAGGCATACAAGGCTATGGGCCAATGTTGGAAATTGGGATTAGAATAATTAGGTAGTTGTTTTTGACTGGCACGGACTCAATGGGCCTTTTTTTTGTGCTATAGACTTCTATGACCTTGGCAGGGCACACTTTAAAGAGTAGCGGATAATGTGAAACTTGGAAGCATTGAAAAAGGTGCAGAGGATTGTGCAGAACTTCAAAAAGGCATAGATAAGCTGGTGGAGTGGGCAGCTAGATGGCAGATGAAGTTTAGTGCAGAGAAATGTGATACAATGCATTTGGTAGGAAGAACAGCGTACATAAAGTGTACAATGCTAAAGGGGGTCCAGGATCATAGGGGCCTGGGTACATATGTCACTAAAGACTGCAGAACAGGTTCAGAGAGCAGTTAATAAAACATTCAATATCCCGGCTTCATTAGTAAGGGCAGACAGTACCAGGCAAAGGAGGTAATGTTGAATTTGCATAAGAATTAGTTCAATTACAGCTGAAATATTGCATCCAGAACCAGATGTCACTCTTTAGGAAGCATGTCGAGGCATTGGAGACAAGGTAGAAGCGATTTACTGGAATAGTTCCAAAGATGAAGATAGATTGGAGAGGCGGGGCATGTTTTCTTTAGAAAAAAGGCTGAAAGAAGACCTGATTGCTGCTTTCAACATCATGAAAGATTTGGGCAGAGTATATCGGGAGAACTGAGAATAAGAGAACACAGATTTAAAATAAGAAGCAAAGTTTTCCTCTGAAAACATTTTGATGCAGCAAGTGTTTACAGGATAGGCAACACTGCCTGAAAGTGTGGGAAGGCAGATTCAGTCGAGGTATTCAAAAGATAATTAGAAAGTTATTTGAAAAGAAACAATTCAGAGGGTTCAAGAGAAGCCACAGGATGAGAGGCTCATGTGGAGAGCCAGCATAGACAGAATGGGTCAAATGCAGTGTAACAGTTCTGTGATTTCTGGATACTCACAGAAGCTTTATAAAACAAAGATTGATACAAGACAGCATAAGATGACAACCAAAACTTTTCTCAAACAGGAAAGTTTTAAGGATGTCTCTTTGGTTGACAAGGGAGTTAACAGATTTTGAGGGACACACAGGAAAGTGAAGTTAAGACCACATCAAATCAATGATGGACTTATTGACTGGCAGAGCAGGCTTAAATGGACAAATATCTTAATTCTCCTCCTTTTTTTTTATATTCCTCTTCTTTAAAGGAGGTGGTTCAGGTGTAGGGATGGAATTCTAGATCTTGGGACCTTGGCAGTTGAATGTGGGCCACCAATGGTATAATGATAAAAATCAGGGATGCACAAGCAGTCTGAATTAGAGGGCTGCAGATATCCAGGAAGGTTACGGGGCTGGAAGAGATTAGAGGTAGAAAAAGTGAGGTCATGAGAGATCTGAATAGATTCTCACTCGCAGAAGGATCAAGAATCTGAAGGCATAGATCTAGCGATTTGCAAATATGACATCAGAAGAAACCTTTTTGGGTTAGTTTGCATATTGCCTTGATTTGTGGTGGAGGCAGGTTCAATTCTAGCGATGGTTATATTCAAAAAGGTAATGTGCAAGGGCAAAAGGAAAAGGCAGAAGAATGAGACCATGTCATAATGCTCATTGGATAGACACGATGGGCAGAATGGCCTCATTGTGCACTGTAACGCTTCTCTGATTCTGTGAATTATAAAATCAGGACTAGTTCGATTGGAAAGCAATGTAAGTCAGACAGTACATGAGTCCGATAGAGGAAAAGGACTTGTTACAAGTTAAGACACGGGAAGCAAAAATCTAGATGACGTCAAGTTTAGAGAATGTGGGAGACCAGCCCTGAGTGTGCTGGAGAACTTGAAACGACCAAATCATGAATGAAAAGTTTCATATAAGCCAGGCGTGGGACTAGATCGTTACCTCACGGTTGTCTGTGGGATGTTGCTGTGCGTCAAAATAACACGCCGGTGTTCTTTACAATTTGCGTAATCGATGCCTGTGAACTTCAAAGGTATTTTGTCGGCTGTGAAACACTTTAGGATGTTTGGGTGAAAGGCGCTACTTAAACGAGAGCATGTTTTTTTTCCGGAAATGCGGGGGCGCGGGGTGTTGAAGGGAGGTTTAAAGGAATGAAACGGTTTGTTTACCCGAACTGGCACTCCTCGCTCTCCGAGTAGCCTTTCATCTGCGTGTCTCTGTCTCTCAATTTTGGGGTTGAAGCCACACCTCCGTCAGTGTCTGGTGTTGGTAGTGGCGCTACCGCCATGTTGTCGAAGGGCGGACTGCAGCAGCGCGAGCGAGAGAACGCTCGGCCGTTAGCGGGGGAAACGCCCAGAAGCTTCTAGGCGCCAGCGCGCGGGTGCGGCTGCGGAGCTGCCATGAAGGTAAGGGGAGCGATTATTGTCGTACGGACAGAGAGGGAGACAGTAATGAAAGAGTCATCAGGGCTCGTGGGAAGGTAAACAGTTTCTCTTTTCGCTACACAACCTCCTCCATATCGTCCTCATCCACACGAAGTCTGGCTGGGAGGGAGGGGTGCCGCAGGCTTCGACCATCAGCCAGGCCCACCCGGGCTTTAAATCTGTTTCTATTATTTGTTGTCGTTGGCGTTTCCCTTCCGAGAGAGAAATGACACTTTTTTTTCCTTGGTTAAAGCTACCCATGGGGAATAAAAGAGGTTGGAGTATGTTGCTCCCTGCTTTTTGTCGGCCACTAACTGTGCGGCATTCAGCCCCCACTCCCTCCCCCGATCAGTGACTGTCAATGTGACTGAGGTGCGTTTTAATACTTATTTCACTGACATCTGCCGACTGATTTCCTAAATCTACCGTGACTGTAAAATATGTCCTGCTGTGGTTGCCTTAATAAATTCATTTTTTGCTTTAAAAAGTCAAACCTGTATGTTTAGAATATTATTAAAACATTCATCTATGCCTGTAAGTTACCTTTTTTTTTTGCACAGTAGTTATGTACCGTAATGGACATGCATTTTTTTTTAAACCTGCATGTTGATTAGCTTTTATCTGTTTCTGTAAGCAATGTAACAGACCTGAATAGTGTACCTTTCCTCCTTTGTTTTATTAAATGTAATAAGGTACATCCTTTTCCAGCTCTCCATTTGAGTGATCACCAAGGCGTTGCTGTATGGTTTTCACTAAAATGTTGATTGGATTAGGGAATTTGAATCCCCAAGTAACTGGTAACTCTAGAATGTTTTGTAATAAAAAGGCTTATTTAGCCATTGTAAACCAGTAGACCTGCTAGTTGCTGTATTTTGTTTGCAATGTTTGAACTGGAAAAAGTGTTTTGGGAGAGCTAAGGTGATCCAAGGATAGGGCAGTTGTGGATGAAACTAAGACATTGACATTGTTCAATGTACGAAGAAAGATTCTTATAGATAGCGTATTGCATAACTTCAGCACATTCCAAAATACTTCATACACAATCAAGTAATTTTGGAGATCTTGACATTCATGTAAAATAAGTTTAAAGTGGTATTGGACAATATATTTTGCTGACAGTAGTGCATATAATTCCACTGTGCATAAATTACCCAAGAATGATGATTCATATTTTAAATTGAGCAGCTACTAGTAGGGCTGTGGCAAGTCAGGAAATCAGTGACGTGAAGGAAGTCTCCAGATTCTAAGAATTCTTTGTAAATAATATGAGCAGAGATATCTGGGGATTTTTTCCGTTGAGTAACTTCTTGCCTGGTCAGTCAGACACACCTTAAACAATAACTAAGGTGTGTATTTCTACATTTATAGAATCTGTTCAGACACATGACTGCATAAAATATTATATGTAATTGTTTTCTGATTTGCTTACAGTTTTGTTCGTTATTTGTAGAAAGTGAAATGCTGCTAGCACCTATTGAACAAGGAAGCAAAAGCTTTCAACTCTTGTTTATCAACATGGGTTATTTTATCATAGTTTTATTTGTAAGTAATTTTTCTAAGTCTGGTTCTCGTTTGAAACATTTTGTTTTATGTAATGCATTTGTGCACTTGGTGAATGTCAGCTTATCTCCTTTTCTTCCCTAAGTGTAAAAGACTCTGTTAGTAAGTGGAGTTAAAATCAATCTGTTTAAATAAAATCTTGTACTTTGGAACTCTACCGGCAGCGACATTTGTTTTCCTGTGTGTGATTTTATAGAGCATTGTATATGCTGGTGAATGTTGACTATTAATAAGGATTATCCTTCAGTTTGAAGTTAGATGTCATCAAGCAGTGGATTGACTTTTGTGACAGAAGTGTACTATAATTGAGCAAATTGGGTTTAAGACAGCTTTGAAATCCGAAGATTGTGTTACACATTATGCTGACTTGTAATGTCCCAAGATGTACCATTCTTTGTGTACCTATTGGCTCCACAAATTCAGCCTCTGGAATGCCCACTGTACTGAATTCTAGTTGCACCTTTTAATGTCCTTCACTTGAACTTTAAGCCTTTTGACGGTGCAACAGTTTCTCAATGCTTTACGGGTGTCAATCTAGAGTATGCACCCAAGTTTCAGATGACAGCTCTAACCCAAAAGCTTCTGTAACTAAGACAGAAGTTCTATCAACTAAGCTGATGTCCAAAATGCAAATTTTCCTGACTCTCGGCAACAGTACCGATAACTAATAACCAGTGGAAGGCAATGTAATTTGCATTTGATAGTGATGCTCATAATGTTCATATCTCCGGTAATTTTCTGAATATTGGTTGCAATCGTATCCTTCAGCCTGACATCCGTAGGGATATAAATGTGTATTAATAAATATACAACAAGTTGAAAGTATTAAATCAACATGCACTTGTTAACATCTCCCATCAATTCCTTTGCCTATGTTTATGATATAAATTGCCTGTATAAACTTGTCTTACTCAACAACATTCCCCTGCTAGCTTTGCTTCTGTACCTCCCTGTTTGAGACTGTGATTATTGTTATAATTTACGGATACGCTGAGAATGCAATGTGTTGCCTCTAGATATTGGGAGGAAGAAATGTGGTTTATTTAAATTAGGTTATACTATGGGTTGACAAGAATTTATGGCAGAAATATTTGTTACAAAACTTAAGCATACTTGTGTACACAAAGCTTTGCATGTATAGTATGTGACATTAAATTTCAAGAGTAGCATATGACAAATAACTTTAAAGATCGTTATAGTTTATGCAACTATGTTAATTTTTGTGAGCATCAAGATCTCAAGCGTCATTTGGGATGAATGATCAATTTCTGATGACTGGTTCGGTGCAGTATTGATCTAGTTTAAGAAAAGTCTGGTTCTTCAGTTAGTAATATCGTTTGTGTGAAAATGTGGATCAACAAAAAAAAAAAGAATAACTCATTTTATGTAGTACTTTTAACATAGCCTATGTCCCAAGATACTTCACAAACAATTAATCTAATAAAATTTAATGCCAATACTAGGCAGGAATTTCTTTGTTTAACACTTATATGTATGTACAGCACTTTTAACCCAGAACCTTCAAACTTAGAGTTTTCGTAAATAAGTCAAGTTGACATAATATTCCATCTGCAACGGTGGTTATGAAATCTAGTTCTGTTCCTTTTTTATAATTGATTCATGGAATGTAGGCTTCGAAGGCTGGACCTGCATTTTTTTTATCCATCCCTGATTGTTCTTGTAAAAGTGGTGGTGAGCTGCCTTCTTGAACTGCTGCAATCTATTTGATGTAGGTACCATTGCAATGCTGTTAAGGGAGGGAGTTCCAGGATTTTTATACACTATTTTTGCAAATATAATTGGTTAGTAATAAGGTTAACATTTTTTTAAAGTAAGCTGTTTTTATTGGCTTAAAGGTAAAGTTTCCATAGATCTGTCAGACCACAGGACTGTTCTCTCAATAAAGAGAGATGACAGGTGGTAGTTTAACTTGAGGGTTACCACACCTTGGGTGAGGGCTGAGGTTGAGAAGGAGACTCCTTCATGACGACCTCAGTTGGCACAGAAATTGAACCCATCTTTAGGCATCACTTTGCATTGCAAACCAGCTGTTCTGCCAACTGAGCTAACTGACCCCCCCATTACAATTTCCAGTAACTAATAGCCAAAATGATTAAATTCATTCAACTTCAGTAATCTATTTTACTCGCTTGAATGTTTCTTTATAAAAACACAGCTAGTTCAGAATTTTAGCGTTACAATTTTTGTAAAAATCTGGGGAATGGTTGAAGGAAAAAGAGCATGTCTTTACTGAATTAGTAAGAAGTGTCACTTTCCCAGAATCTCTCCGATCACAGATGTGGAAGAACGTTTCAGCCCCCCTCAACTTATCCAGTAAGTGAAATCTTAATGTGTTCTCCTCATCTATCCTGTAATGTAGAATTATTTCTTAAATGGCTCTCTGTGCATTTATTCCAAATGTTCTTCAACAGTGATCAACAAACAACCAATATGAATCCTAAAATTGCCTTTTATGCCTGTCACCCAAGTTCCTTTCCACAATTCAATTGAAAAATGCATTTAGTTCAATGTTTATCCTAAAAATGTGGTGAAATTCTGACACATCTTTTCCCAATTAAAAATTCCCATTCTTGTAAATTTTGGCCATGTAGCTCCACTTTCTATATTAGCTCTGCATTGATCAAACACATTTGGCATTGAATCTTCTCAGACTGCCAAGTCTCTCTCAACTCGATTCTTGGGTATTTGAATATCATTCATGGAATGTGTAGTTTGCCTGTTTTTCTGTGCTGTATGTAGCACATTACGTCAGTCTACATTAAATTTCATTTCATTTTCATTTTCTGAAATTTATTAATTTTCTAATATTTCCACTGACTCTAACTTCAGATGATTCCAAAGGAAAAGAGTAATCACCTAGGAACTTTTTCACACGCTGCACATGAAAGTTGGACCTAGCAAATAATGCAATTAGGGTTAAATGCATCTTGCAATTAGGCAGCAAAAAGAGCAGCTATGCTTTTCAGATTTTTTTTTCTTGTAAATGATGAGTCAGTTCAGCAACCCTGTAAAATATTCTTGATAATGAAAGAATGTATGTATGGTGAGGCTAGAATTCTGTTTTATTCTTGGCTCATCAGTGTCATAAATCCACACCTGATGATAACAGCATTTTGGTACACCACTATATTACGCTACCTGAACTACGCCCATTTTGGATCATATTTTTAGTTAGTACAATTTTTGGTTTAATTAACTATTTGATCAAACATATTAAACAGATGTATTAAATCGACAAATCATTGCAGTTGATTATAGTACCTTTTTTTATGTTATAATATCTCAGCACCACCATGTACTTTGGATACCTTTTTCAATACCAGGTTATGGAGATAGTTAATTGACTTTGGCTTTTAGCATCCTTCCTTGATTGAAGAGCATCTCTGGCTTTAGGAATGATGGTCTTGTATCTGCCAAAACAATTACCCCCTCCATTCTGTGGCCTTGGAGGCAGGCTCATTAATTTCTGTCCAACAGCCTGTGTGGTCTGATAGTTAGCTAAAAATTGTTGTTTTTTCTTGCTCTGTGGTGAGTTTACAGTATGAAATTTTAGGCGTTTCATGAAAACTAAAACCTTAAGGATTATAAACAGCATTTTGGTAATATTACAATAATCCACAGTTTTGCAAACAATTCATTATTAAAACCTAATGGTTATGTGTATGAAATGCTTGACCTGTTCTCTCTCAAAATAAAATACTCAGCAGTACAGTTTGTAGCTTATATCCTAGGTGATTACTCTTATCCTTTGGAATCATCTGTAGTTAGTTTCAGTGGAAACATAATAAATT